GGTATGTTAGGATATGTAAAGCTAGGTTTAGGAACGTTACGTTAACTAAGTAACATTGGGTGGAGAGGATAGGTTACGTAGGTTTGAACAGTGTAGTTCAGAGAACAGTTTTAGGGTAAAGCAACTAAGAAAATATGTTTTAACAGAAATGCAGGTTTGGTATGAAAAGCTGAACTAGTTACATTTTGGAGAGAAAATTTTATGACTGAAGATGTCTTAAAGAATAACATGATGGAAGAAGGAGAGTTTCTTTGATGAATGAAGGTGTCTTAGAGAACAACTTTGGAGAACGAAGATGAATTAGAGATCGCTTTGATGACTCTGAGAATAACTCTGGTCAACGAATATGGATTGGAAAGTTTCTCTAATGAACGAAGGTGAGTTAAGATTAACTTTTATGATTTAGAGAACATCTTTGGTAGCTCTGAGAAAGACTTTGTTGTCTTAGAGAATAACTTTCAGGACTTAGAGAATGTCTTTGATGAATGGAAGTGAGTTAGAGAATAACATATCATGACTGAGAATAACTTTGATGTCTTTGAAACAACTTTAGATGTCTCTGAGAATGTCTTTGGATAACTCTGAGATTAACTTTGATGTCTTTGAAACAACTTTGACGTCTCTTGGAATAACTTTTGTGGACATGAGAATATCTTTGGATAACTCTGAGATTAACTTTGATAGCTCTGGGAATAACTTTTATGATTTTGAGAACATCTTTGATGTCTTGGAGAACAACATTGATGTCTCTGAAAATAACTTTGATGACCAAGATTGACTTTAGATGTCTCTGAGAATAACTTTATAACATAGAAATTAACTTTAGATGCCTCTGAAAATAACTTTGATGACTTCGAGAATAACATTTGATGACTCTGAGAACAAGTTTGATAGCTCTGAGAATAACTTTAGATGTCTCTGAAAATAACTTTGATGAAAGCAGATGTCTTAGATTAACTTTTGATGACTTTGAAAACAAGTTTGTTGAACAAAGATGTTTTGGAAAGTTTCTCTGACGAACGAAGGTGACTCTGAGAATAACTTTTATGTCTTAGAGAAGAACATTGATGGTTTAGAGAGAATATCTTTGATGAAAAATGATGTCTTAGATTAACTTTGATGACTCTGTGAATAAGTTTGATGACTTTGAGAACAAGTTTGATAGCTCTGAGAATGACTTTTATGCCTCTGAGAATAACTTTGATGAATAAAGATGTTTTGGAAAGTTTCTCTGAAGAACGAAGGTGACTCTGAGAATAACTTTTGTTAGCTCTTTGAATAACTTTGATGTCTTTGAAACAACTTTGATGAACGAGAGTGAGTTAGAGATTACCTTTGCTAACTCTGAGATTAACTTTGATGAACAAAAGAGAGTTAGAGATTACATTTGATAACTCTAAGATTAACTTTAGATGTCTCTGAGACAAACTTTTATAACATAGAAATTAACTTTAATGACCAAAGTGAGTTAGAGAATACCTTTTGATGACTCCGAGAATAATTTTGATAGCTCTGAGAATGACTTTTGTTGTCTTGGAATAACTTTTGATTGTTCTGAGAATAACTTTTGTTGTCTCGGAATAACTTTTGATTGTGCTGAGAATAACTTTGAGGGCTTAGAGAATGTCTTTGATGAATGGAAGAGTCCCATTGAAGTCTTAAGGAAGTCTTTGATGTCTCGAAGGATGTCTTAGAGTGTAACTTTGGTGTCTTTGAGTAAGTCCTTGATGTATTGAAGAGCGTCTTTGATTTATCGAAGAGTAACTTTGGTGTAACGGAGAGCACCTTTGACTATTTTTTTTCGTACTTGACGACATATAATTTTTACGAAAGTGCTGAAAAAGTTACATTTGACTATTTTAGTGCTCCACAAAGTATAAATGTCAGTTAAGAACGACGATGATAGATATCTTTGACTATATTTTCTGACTTGACGATGGATAAAGTTAGTTATGAACAGTGCTGAAAAGATTCCTTTGACAATTTTTAGCTAAGCGAAAGGCTGTTTTAGTTAAGAACAGTGTTGGAAAGAGACTACATATTACTATTTTCAGATGAGAGAAGTGATATTTTAGTTAAGAAATTACAAGGAAACATGATGAAGTAACTATTTTTAGTTGACTGATGAATACTTTAGTTAAGGAAAAAGACAAAACATGATGAACATGACTTTTTCTGATGATTGGCGGATAATTTTAGTTAAGAAATGGCAATGAAACATGATGAACACGGTTATTTTCTGATGAATGGGGAATATGTTTAGTTAAGAAATGATGAAAGTTATTATTTTTAGTTGATTGACGATGGATAAAAGCTAGATATGAACAGTTTTGGAAAGTTTCCTTTGACAATTTTTCTTGATGAAACATAGCGCCTGTTAAGAAAGTGCTGAAAAAGTTTCCTTTGACAATTTTTAGCTAAGAGAAAGGTTGTTTTAGTTAAGAACAGTGTTGAACGAAGCTATTTCTGACTATTTTTAGTTGACTGGATAATAAGTTTAGTTGAGAAATGACGAAAGTGACTATGTTTTTAGTTGATTGGCGAAAGATTTTTTAGTTAAGGAACGTTAGATAACATGTAAGGGGAAAAACCTAGAGAACATATGGGGAACATGGCAAAGAATACATGTAAGAAAAGTTGATGAATACAGTGAACATGCTGGGAATATGAACTTACAGAGAACATGAAAACATGATAAGGAGAATAGGGAATACAAAGAATGAACAATGGACTTGTGAAGAACATGGAGAATAAGACAAAGAATGTAGAAAACATGTAAGTGATCTTGTGAGGAACATGAACTTGTAGAGGAACATGAATATTGACAAAGAACACAAAATATGGAAGTTAGCATGAATATTGAGTATAAAAGTTGTAAAGAGAACATGTGATGAACATGAAAACATAGAAAATATGACTAGAATTTGTAGAGAAAGTAATGAGACTAAGAGAAAGATTACAGAAAAAATGGAGATACTTGTGAAAATATGAACTGAATGGGACTGTGAACATTTGAAGAACATGGAGTGAACACAGAAAACATGGACAAAATGTGAAGAACACAGCTGAATATAGAGAAAATATGCAAATACAGTATGATTATTGAAGGTTTTGATACGTTGGGGATTGATACGTTGGGGATGAGAAGGGTAAAGTAATTACTCTGATAAACAGATAGGTTGGAGATGGACTGGATCGAATATATTTATGTCTGATGATCTATGGCTGAGGAAATGGAGCTTTGCTAATGTCCAGATTAATTTTACTACGTTAGAAAATAAGGTGATCTTAAATCTCAGGTGATTTAGTTGGAAAATAAAGAACTTGAACAAATGAACTAAGCTGGGGCACAAGAGTTGAAACTTGATAACTGAACTGGTTTTTATTTACTATGTCTGAAAATGTAGTTGGGTGATTTGGACTGAGAGTAATGAATTTACAAAAGTGAGCTTGGACGGAGGACAAGAGCTAAAGTTTTATAATTGTTTACTTCATATTTACTATGTCTGAAATACAGAGGGTAAAAATTTCGGGGAAATTGATGGTTTATTTACAAAGACTTGAGGGTGGAAGAGGGTGGGGGACGAGAGCTGGAGCTCAGTAACTGACTTGATCTTATTTACTAACTTTGAAGTATGTCTGCTTTTAATTTTAGGGAAATTGATGGGTTATTTACAAAGATACGAAGGAGAACTAAGGCAGGGACGAGAGCTGGAGCTCGATAACTGACTTGATTTTATTTACGGAGTCTGAAATACAGAGGGTAAAAATTTCAGGGAAATTGGACTGTTACTAACGATCTTGTATAAACGAAATAAGGTGGGGGACAAGCGCTGGAGCTTGATAACTGTTTTGATCTTATTTACGGAGCCTGAAATACAGAGGGTAAAAATTTCAGGGAAATTGGACTGATACTAACGAAGATACGAGAGAGAGCTAAGGCGGAGGACAAGCGCTGGAGCTTGGTAACTAAATTACTGTATTGAACTACATTTGAAATATGATTATTTTTAAATTTTAGAGGGATTGGAATGATAGTATTCATTATACGACAGGGGAGTAAGGTGGGGGAACGTGAGCTAGAACATGCTTACTAACACGATTTATTTGTGTAAAACTGACTTGCTTAATGAAAAGGAGAAAACATACGATGTTGGAAAATAGCAAGAGAGAGAATAATATGAAGAGGAGAGAGAGAGAGAGAGGAGGGACGGTCCAGATATTACGGATAAGATAAGATAAGATTAAGAGCCGACTGGCTGGCTGGGCGCAAAGTAAATAAAGGCGACGCGACAGATTGCGAGGTAAGGGGGGGGAGGGAGGGGGGTGTGATGTACGAGACTTGAAAACCCTGACTTACACAGGTGATTTTCTAAATTTATATGAATAACTAAGGCTTACATAGACGATTTTGTAAGTTGAAAACATGTAAAATATGTCCGTAGAGTTCTCCTGGAAGCCCTAAAGTGCTACACACGTTATTTGAATTTCTCCCATAAGGCTTTAACAAACTTCTAAGTCTCGGAAATTATTTTTCTCATAAGAAATCCTTACTTCTAAAATCTGCGACTGACAAAATTTACCTGAAAACCCCCAAGCGCTATACACGATTTTCTAAATTTACCTGAAACCCTTGGGGCGCACAGGGGATATTCTAAATTTACCTGAAACCCTTGGGGCGCACAGGTACCTTTTTTCCCTTTGGACCTGAAACCCTTGGGGCGCACAGGTACCTTTTTTCCCTTTGGACCTGAAACCCTTGGGGCGCACAGGCACTTTTTTTCCCTTTGGACCTGAAACCCTTGGGGCGCACAGGGGATATTCTAAATTTACCTGAAACCCTTGGGGCGCACAGGGGATATTCTAAATTTACCTGAAACCCTTGGGGCGCACAGGGGATATTCTAAATTTACCTGAAACCCTTGGGGCGCACAGGTACCTTTTTTCTCCCAGAAAAAAAGGTACCTGTGAGGCGCCTTCCCTACTACTTCCACCTGCAGGCCAGCAGCCTACTACTCCACCTGCAGGCCAGCAGCCTACTACTCCACCTGCAGGCCAGCAGCCTACTACTCCACCTGCAGGCCAGCAGCCTACTACTCCACCTGCAGGCCAGCAGCCTACTACTCCACCTGCAGGCCAGCAGCCTACTACTCCACCTGCAGGCCAGCAGCCTACTACTCCACCTGCTGGCCAGCAGCCTACTACTCCACCTGCAGGCCAGCAGCCTACTACTCCACCTGCAGGCCAGCAGCCTACTACTCCACCTGCAGGCCAGCAGCCTACTACTCCACCTGCAGGCCAGCAGCCTACTACTCCACCTGCAGGCCAGCAGCCTACTACTCCACCTGCAGGCCAGCAGCCTACTACTCCACCTGCAGGCCAGCAGCCTACTACTCCACCTGCTGGCCAGCAGCCTACTACTCCACCTGCAGGCCAGCAGCCTACTACTCCACCTGCAGGCCAGCAGCCTACTACTCCACCTGCTGGCCAGCAGCCTACTACTCCACCTGCAGGCCAGCAGCCTACTACTCCACCTGCTGGCCAGCAGCCTACTACTCCACCTGCTGGCCAGCAGCCTACTACTCCACCTGCAGGCCAGCAGCCTACTACTCCACCTGCAGGCCAGCAGCCTACTACTCCACCTGCAGGCCAGCAGCCTACTACTCCACCTGCAGGCCAGCAGCCTACTACTCCACCTGCTGGCCAGCAGCCTACTACTACTCCACCTGCAGGCCAGCAGCCTACTACTCCACCTGCTGGCCAGCAGCCTACTACTCCACCTGCTGGCCAGCAGCCTACTACTACTCCACCTGCAGGCCAGCAGCTTACTACTCCACCTGCTGGCCAGCAGCCTACTACTACTCCACCTGCAGGCCAGCAGCCTACTACTCCACCTGCTGGCCAGCAGCCTACTACTCCACCTGCTGGCCAGCAGCCTACTACTACTCCACCTGCAGGCCAGCAGCCTACTACTCCACCTGCAGGCCAGCAGCCTACTACTACTCCACCTGCAGGCCAGCAGCCTACTACTCCACCTGCTGGCCAGCAGCCTACTACTCCACCTGCTGGCCAGCAGCCTACTACTCCACCTGCTGGCCAGCAGCCTACTACTACTCCACCTGCAGGCCAGCAGCCTACTACTCCACCTGCTGGCCAGCAGCCTACTACTCCACCTGCAGGCCAGCAGCCTACTACTCCACCTGCTGGCCAGCAGCCTACTCCACCTGCAGGCCGGCGCTCTGTGGCCAGGTATTGGAACAAGGAGTTAAGTGGGGCTTGTGGAGCGTGCTGATAACCTGTGTTTTCCCCTTGATTACTGGTGTGAGCGGCCTCTCCTCGTCGACCCCTCATCACTCAAGCGTAACCTCTCAGCGTATATCATCGCTCAAGCGTGTGTTAACACAATTCCAATGACTTTCCTGGAATTCAGAGGCTGTGGATGAGATGTGGCTTACAGATCTATGAGATTGGCAGACTATATAGCTTTGTGAAGACGAGTAAAGTGTATATATATGTTTTAATCCAAGTGATCCGGTGACTGTTGCGCAAGATTGTATAATTGATGGAGCATAACAGCGTAAACAGTGGTTTTGTGAGGTGTGGGGCGGTGGTTGCGAGGTCGCTAAATTATTACGAAGTCCATCGGTCGACCCTCAGTTCGGGAGGTGACTTTCTCATCTCTCACACACACACTCTCTTTGTCACTCCCACAGTCTCTCTCTCTCTCCTCTCAGTCTCTCTCACGCTGACTTTCACACTCATTCTCTAACTCATTCACCCTCCCTCTCACTCCTCTCTTTCACTCCTCTCACTCCTCTCTCTCTCCTCTCTCTCTCTCTCTCTCTCTCTCTCTCTCTCTCTCTCTCTCTCTCTCTCTCTCTCTCTCTCTCTCTCTCTCTCTCTCTCGCTCGCTCTGGTGGCGTCTCATCTGGTATTCTCCGTCGCGATAAGGGATTTATCTCTCACCACAATCCCCACAATTCACTGTCTTCTGTGATCCTAGAATAAAGATATTCTTTTTTAGAGACGAGAGATTGGACGAGGACGAGTGGGAGGTGGAGGAGGAGGACGAAGTGGAGGTGGAGGACGAAGTGGAAGATGGAGGACGAGGACGAAGTGGGAGGTGGAGGACGAGGACGAAGTGGGAGGTGGAGGAGGAGGACGACGTGGTAGGTGGAGGAGGAGGACGAGGAGGATCAGGAGGAGCGATAACATAGTTCTCAAGGGATGGAAAAGAGTGACTTGAAAAATGTATTTTCGGCTTGTAAGACTGTGGAGAAGGGATGTCGAATCAAAATCAAAAGATTTTGATTTGACAGAAAATCGTCAAGTCTAAAGTCTTCGTGGGGGGGATAGGGGGGGGGAGGTCCTTGGCGTTCCCTCCCGTAAAGTCAAATCACCATTAGAAACAATACAACTAATGGTATAGAGCATAGTTACCAAAGAGCATAGTTACCAAAGAGCATAGTTACCAAAGAGCATAGTTACCAAAGAGCATAGTTACAAAAGAGCATAGTTACCAAAGAGCATAGTTACCAAAGAGCATAGTTACAAAAGAGCATAGTTACCAAAGAGCATAGTTACCAAAGAGCATAGTTACCAAAGAGCATAGTTACCAAAGAGCATAGTTACCAAAGAGCATAGTTACCAAAGAGCATAGATGGAAAAGAGCATAGATGGAAAAGAGCATAGATGGAAAAGAGCCAGGTCAATAGAGTTCACCACTGGACCCATTGACAGTTTCTGTTCCACAGCAGCGGATAGTTTGACGCCGGGCCCCATAGGCCTATCCCCCATACGCCTATCCCTGCGCGGTCATTAATGTTTCATTAACCACTAAACCATTGACATAAGTATAGCTCGAGCCTAAAGTAACCAGTCTGTGGATAAAGTAACCAGTCTGTGGATAAAGTAACCAGTCTGGGGATAAGGTAACCAGTCTGTGGATAAAATAACCAGTCTGTGGATAAAGTAACCAGTCTGTGGATAAAGTAACCAGTCTGTGGATAAAGTAACCAGTCTGTGGATAAAGTAACCAGTCTGTGGATAAAGTAACCAGTCTGGGGATAAGGTAACCAGTCTGTGGATAAAATAACCAGTCTGTGGATAAAGTAACCAGTCTGTGGATAAAGTAACCAGTCTGTGGATAAAGTAACCAGTCTGTGGATAAAGTAACCAGTCTGTGGATAAAGTAACCAGTCTGTGGATAAAGTAACCAGTCTGTGGATAAAGTAACCAGTCTGTGGATAAAGTAACCAGTCTGTGGATAAAGTAACCAGTCTGTGGATAAAGTAACCAGTCTGTGGATAATGTAACCAGTCTGGGGATAAAGTAACCAGTCTGTGGATAAAGTAACCAGTCTGTGGATAATGTAACCAGTCTGTGGATAAAGTAACCAGTCTGTGGATAAAGTAACCAGTCTGTGGATAATGTAACCAGTCTGTGGATAATGTAACCAGTCTGTGGATAAAGTAACCAGTCTGTGGATAAAGTAACCAGTCTGTGGATAAAGTAACCAGTTTGTGGATAAAGTAACCAGTCTGTGGATAAAGGCATCACGGAATACTGCCCTGAGAGCTCCACTCTTAGTCCCAGCCCTGAGAGCTCCACTCTTAGTCCCAGCCCTGAGAGCTCCACTCTCAGTCCCAGCCCTGAGAGCTCCACTCTCAGTCCCAGCCCTGAGAGCACACTCTCAGTCCCAGCCCTGAGAGCTCCACTCTCAGTCCCAGCCCTGAGAGCTCCACTCTCAGTCCCAGCCCTGAGAGCTCCACTCTCAGTCCCAGCCCTGAGAGCTCCACTCTCAGTCCCAGCCCTGAGAGCTCCACTCTGTCCCAGCCCTGAGAGCTCCACTCTCAGTCCCAGCCCTGAGAGCTCCACTCTCAGTCCCCGCCCTGAGAGCACACTCTCAGTCCCACCCCTGAGATCTCCACTCTCAGTCCCAGCCCTGAGAGCTCCACTCTCAGTCCCAGCCCTGAGAGCTCCACTCTCAGTCCCAGCCCTGAGAGCTCCACTCTGTCCCAGCCCTGAGAGCTCCACTCTCAGTCCCAGCCCTGAGAGCTCCACTCTCAGTCCCAGCCCTGAGAGCACACTCTCAGTCCCAGCCCTGAGAGCTCCACTCTCAGTCCCAGCCCTGAGAGCTCCACTCTCAGTCCCAGCCCTGAGAGCTCCACTCTCAGTCCCAGCCCTGAGAACTCCACTCTCAGTCCCAGCCCTGAGAGCTCCACTCTGTCCCAGCCCTGAGAGCTCCACTCTGTCCCAGCCCTGAGAGCTCCACTCTCAGTCCCAGCCCTGAGAGCTCCATTCTCAGTCCCAGCCCTGAGAGCTCCACTCTGTCCCAGCCCTGAGAGCTGCACTCTCAGTCCCAGCCCTGAGAGCTCCACTCTCTGTCCCAGCCCTGAGAGCTCCACTCTCAGTCCCAGCCCTGAGAGCTCCACTCTCAGTCCCAGCCCTGAGAGCTCCACTCTGTCCCAGCCCTGAGAGCTCCACTCTCAGTCCCAGCCCTGAGAGCTCCACTCTCAGTCCCAGCCCTGAGAGCTCCACTCTCAGTCCCAGCCCTGAGAGCTCCACTCTCAGTCCCAGCCCTGAGAGCTCCACTCTGTCCCAGCCCTGAGAGCTCCACTCTCAGTCCCAGCCCTGAGAGCACACTCTCAGTCCCAGCCCTGAGAGCTCCACTCTTAGTCCCAGCCCTGAGAGCTCCACTCTCAGTCCCAGCCCTGAGAGCTCCACTCTCAGTCCCAGCCCTGAGAGCTCCACTCTCAGTCCCAGCCCTGAGAGCTCCACTCTGTCCCAGCCCTGAGAGCTCCACTCTCAGTCCCAGCCCTGAGAGCTCCATTCTCAGTCCCAGCCCTGAGAGCTCCACTCTGTCCCAGCCCTGAGAGCTCCACTCTCAGTCCCAGCCCTGAGAGCTCCACTCTCAGTCCCAGCCCTGAGAGCTCCATTCTCAGTCCCAGCCCTGAGAGCTCCCCTCTCAGTCACAGCCCTGAGAGCTCCACTCTCTGTCCCAGCCCTGAGAGCTCCACTCTCGGTCCCAGCCCTGAGAGCTCCACTCTCAGTCCCAGCCCTGAGAACTCCACTCTCAGTCCCAGCCCTGAGAGCTCCACTCTCAGTCCCAGCCCTGAGAGCAAGACCCACGAGAATAACGAGACGTGTTCCCCTTCTTGTGCCAAGTCGAGATGAGGAAGAGAGCCTGCAGGCCTTCAAAAATAAGACCATAAATTCAACAAGAGTGAAGATAGACTCGTGTATTGATAAGGAACACTTAAGAATCACAGACTCCCGATAGCCCGATATAATCACCCGCTCTGTCAAAGAATAAATATTGAAGCAGGACGCAAAATATATAAAAGGAGAGAAACCCAGAACACAACACAGGTAGGCGGAAGAGTTGGTTGTATCAGTTGGCCTGTTGGTCTCTCCATAAAAAAACTTGCAACAACTATCTGTCAGGGGCCCTCAGGGCTGGGGTGGGGGGGGTGTGGCCCCTCAGGGCAGGGGGCGGAGGACCCTCGGGGCGGGGGGCCCCACCACTGATACCCATCACTGCTGGGAAACACAGATAAAAAGATAAACAAAACAAAAGCTGTGAAAACCCCAACCAAAGAAAAAACACAGTGAGAGATACGAGAGGAAGAAGCAATATTAGCTTTACACAGCTGATGGAGACACAACTTTATGCCCTTGACTTGACCCCAACCACTTGGGCTGGACGGTAGAGCGATGGTCTTGCTTCATGCGGGTCGGCGTTCAATCTCCCGACCGTCCAAGTGGTCGGGGATTGAACCCCGTACCATCCCAAATCCTTATCCTGATCCCTTCCCAGTGTTACATAGTCCTAATGGCTTGGCGCTTTCCTCTTGATAATTATCTATCTTGACGTATCATAGTCAAGATAGACAGGATTAGTTAGGATTTATCATAGGATTTGCTAGGCCTCCAGGCCAGGGAGGCCTAGCAAATATCATAGACCCATCTTGCTATGATTTCGGGGGTCCAACGTGCCCGCGGCTCGGTCTCCTCCAGGCCTCCTGTCTCCCTCCTACACGACACAATACCCTCGACGACACGGGACGGAAGAGAAAGTGAATAAGTACTTATGTTATGGTCGTCTCCCTCCCGTCTCTGTGACGGGGGAAGACGACGGGTGACGGGGGAAGACGACGGGTGACGGGGGAAGACGACGGGTGACGGGGGAAGACGACGGGTGACGAGGGAAGACGACGGGTGACGGGGGAAGACGACGGGTGACGGGGGAAGACGACGGGTGACGGGGGAAGACGACGGGTGACGGGGGAA